TTCATGCATTAAACCGACACCTATCTGACCCAGACTTCCTACTCCTAGAGGCAGGGTACCAAACACAGAGAGGGAAAGACAGAGAGAAAGGGCTTCCATCCACTGGTTCACTCCCCAAATGGCTGCAATGGCCAGAACTGAGCCAATATGAAGCCAGGAGCCAGGAGTCTCCTCTAGCTCTCCCATGCAGGTGCAGGGGCCCAAGCACTTGGACCATCTTCTACTGCTTTCCCAGCTCATAGCAGAGAGCTGGATCAGAGGAGGAGCAGCCAGGACTCGAACCAATGTCCATATGGGATGCTGGCAATTCAGGCAGAAGATTAACCTACTACACCACAGTGCTGGCCCCAAATGACACACTTTTAAATATGTGATATTCATTGCATTTTAATTATGCCTCGTGGTGGCTGGTTTCATGTGTCAACCTGGCTAGGCTACCTTCTACAGCTCTTCAAGCCCATGCACCAATATAGGTGCCATAGCTGTGATCAGCCTCCGCAATCAGCTACCTTTGCAGAAAGGAGACTATCCTCGATGATCTAGCAGGCCTGGTCCACTCAGCTAATACCTGACTCTAGAGCTAGGATTTTCCTGAGGAAAAAACCTTCCACCCATGTGCTGCCCATTTAGCTTCTGCCCGCCTGATGGTTCACCTCGCCCTTCCTGACAGCCTGCCCTGCAGAGCTCAGACTGCCTGGTTAGCCCCTGCAGTTGCATAAGCCAATTTTTTACAATAAACATCTCTATTTGGATCTTCTTTCTCCTACGTCCTACCTGTTCTGTTTTGCTGGTAGAAGCCTGACTTATACTCATGAGAGTGGTTCCAGAAGACCAGAATCTTCAGGATGAACTTTCTGAATTGGTTCTGGGCTTTCCAGAATTGATTCTGTAATATGACTAGATTGAAGGCTACTAGTGACTATTTCCCATGGAAAAAAGAGCATCATGGGAAAATATTGCTGCTGGGTACTTCTAATCAAATCAAAAGGTAAGGTTCTGGGTGATTTGATTCTTTAGGACATAGTGTGGACTGAGCTTGGCTTGTTGTTTTCCCATTGATTTCCATTGATAGACAAAGTGGGAAAAGAGGAGGATGAACTCGGGGCTTCCAGGTGTCTACCTGAACTCTACATAAATGACCCAAAAGCTTCTGTGCCTGTCCTTGAAGAAATTCTGTCCCTAAAACTACAGGGCTGGGAGTCATGCAAACCAAACCCTGAGTGTCATCCTGTGAGTGACTGAATTATAATGCAACTTGGATTTGCAACTTTCAGGATATTCTCTGTTAAAACGTGGGCATCAGTGAGGCAGGAATGGAATCTTGAAAGCTGAAATGGGGATACATGGGAAGGTTCCAAAGAAACTGGGGTCACTAAATCCTTGAATTCTGCTGAGCCTTCTTTGTCAATAGAAGTAGCACCTTCACCTCCACCTGACCCACTAATTTCTAAGGTTGGGCATGCAATCGGTACCCCAGCATCAGATGGAAGTGGTAAATATGAAACCAGGCCTCCAGAGCCCTGAGGTTCAAGTAAGTTCACCAGGAGGCAGCCCACATACCCATGGATCCTACACTCACTACACTGCCTTCTCTCTCCCAGCTGCATCTATAGGAGTTCCCTATGCCCAGTTAAACGCAAAAAAAGAACTTGTGTCTGATGGACAGATGGTTCTGCGTGATATACAGGCCCCACCCAACAGTTGTCAGCTGTAGCCTTCTTGGTGATCCTTGAATGGCAGTGGTGAAGGGAAATACTCCCAAGGGGCAGAGCTCTGAGCATTGCACCTGCTGGTTCATTTTGCTTGGAGAGAGAAATGGTTGCCCACACTCTTCATCGTGGTGTTTATAGATAGCCCCTGGGTTCAGTCCCACAAATTTCAGCAACTGCCCATTAAATTTGGTAGTTGGTTTTAGGAAGAAAATCTCAGTTTCCAGTTCCCAGTTCCAGGGACACCAAGGTAAAGGACTCACTGTCACTGCTGTGTTCATGCAGCTTGAACAATTCCATTTCCCACTTCTCCCAGCTAAAAGAGGAAGGGTGCCTGGCTACTTTTCACTTCCACTTGCTGAGGATTGAAGACTCATGCTCAATGTCTCTACCGAGGTTTTGTTTTGCTTTGTTTTGTTTTCTTTTGTTTGTTTGTTTGTTTTCCTTTTGCTGCAGCTTTAGAAGAACCATTTGGATGGATATCTGTATCCCTATCTATTTTTTACAATAAAAAAAGCCATATTTCTGTCTAACGTGACACGGCTATCCTGCTCACAACCAAAACTGTGCTTCCCTTTTCCCTGGAGCAGGTTGCAAAGTTCTTGGTCGATGATGGTCACTTTTTATTTGATACCCCGTAACTTAAATACTATCACACAATGGTAATTACTACTAGTGTTTGTTAGGTTAGATGACAAGGGCATAAAGAGTAAAACTGACAGAACACTTTGCTTGATACATATCCATCTATATAAACACCTGACAAAACCAGGACACAACATTCACACTGATTCCAGTCCTCGTTGGTGCGTCTGGTCAACAGATGGTGTAGGTAGCGCCCTTCTTCCACGAGCAATATCATATGCCCTTTGCCCCAGGCAAGCACCTCAGCTGGTCATGGTTCTTTGCTTAGTGGATGATTCCAATCTCATTCCTGAAACCTCAGACATTGGCAGTTCTGCCTATATTGGGTTTTAGTTTTCCAGTGATTTTAATCACAGAACATAGTAGTACTAAGAGGTGTCCTAACAGGTCTCCTTAATTCAAAATATATGTTGCTGGGGCTGGCATTGTGGCGCAGCGGGTTAACGCCCTGCCCTGAAGTGCTGGCATCCCATATAGGCGCCAGTTTGAGACCCGGCTGCTCCTCTTCCCATCCAGCTGTCTGCTATGACCTGGGAAAGCAGTAGAAGATGGCCCAAGCCCTTGGGTCCCTGCACCCGTGTGGGAGACCTGGAAGAAGCTCCTGGTTCTTGGCTTCGGATCGGTGCAGCTCCAGCCATTGCGGCCATCTGGAAAGTGAACCAGCGGATGGAAGTCCTCTCTCTCTGCCTCTCTGTAACTCTACCTTTCCAATAAATAAATAAATCTTTAAAAAAATATATATGTTGCCTTGGCTCCCCTTCATACTAGCTGCACAACTTCATTTTGCTGATCAAGGTCAATCACTCCAATGAGTACCAGAACTCCGCTACTCACCTTCTGATTCCAAGGCAAGAGGAGCCCAGCTAGGCAAGTGGTGCTCTTAACTAGCAGTTCACTGGAGCCAGTGTTGTGTCCCCCGACTGCAGCCTTCTTTCCTTTGGAGCTAAGAGTTCTAGAGGAAACCAGAGGAATAAATACTCCCGCCTCTTCCTCCCTTGACTCTCTCCCATCCAAACTCCTGATGGTATCTTCCGGTACCAGCCAAGAGGCAAGCGAGACTGTTGGTGCAGTCCTTACAGGCTGGCCCCAGAAACCAGGCAGGTGGAGAAGGTGGAAGGTGGACCTGGAGGGACAAATGTAAGGCGCTCAGCTCAGAGCTGTGGGCAATCGGTCCCTGTCCCACCCGCCCAGCCACATTCGATGCACGCTGCCCCTTGCCCACTGCACTCTGTGGTACACACTGTCCCCTCCACCTTGAATCTCCCCCCTCCCCAGTTCATTACTGCTCAACCTTGGCTGAAAACGCACTCTGCTAAACAAGTTAACCTCTTTGTTAATTGAAAGACAGACAGCAGTGGGGTGGGGGGACAGAGAGAGATCTCCCGCATTCGCTAATTCACTTTCCAAGTACGAACAACAGCCAAGGTCGGGCCAGGCTGAAGCCAAGGGCCTGGAACCGAAGACCAGATCTGCCATGTGTGTGACAGGGACTCAACTACCTGACCCATCATCTGCTGCCTCGCAGGATGTGCACCAGCAGGAGCCGGAATGGAAACCACAGCCTGGGCTTGGCCCCAGGCACTGTGACACAGGATCCTAGTATCCCACTGGTGGCTTAACCACCGAGCCAAAAGCCCAAGCCAGTAACCAACACTCAGGAGCGCTTACCACAGGCCAGGCACCATGGCATTATTTGTTAGACTGTTCTAGACTACAGCCTCCTTGAGGCCAGGGACCACGTTTCTGTCACTGCTCTCTTTCTCCAGAGCTGAGAACAGTGTCTGCACACACTTGGAACTCAACACACGTGCACGGAATAAAAGCCCCCATGCTGAGCCTTGCAAGTGTTCCCCAGAGCTCTCGCACTGTGGGAGATTGAACACGGCAGCAGATCCTTTACCGGTCTTCCCACGGAGACACACAGTCTAATTTCACGCTTCTGGAATTGGCCCTGGTCTCACCAATAGGACATGGCAAGAGTGACTTCCTTGGCCTCTAGGTCATAAGAAGCCTGGCATCTTCCACCTGGGTGTCCTGGAGAATCCTTGCTCGGGGCTCGGCACTACTGCTTCTAAAGTCCAACCCCACCAGGCCACCATGCTGGTGAGGCCGTGTGCATGGGTGGGGGATGGCTCCAGCTGAGTCCAGCTCTCCAGCCTGCTCAATGGAGGGCCAGATATATAAGGGAAACTTGGACCAGCCCATCTACCAGCTTGACAGCACTAAGGGACGTGCACTTGTACCATGCAAAACAGCTATGCAGGCAAGCTGTGCCCGAATTCCCTAGGCACCCAATCAGAAGAAAGAATCTTCTTATAAGCCAGGGCACTTTGTCACACGTCTGTCCTAAGTGATTTCGGCTGGGGAAAGCCCCATCTGCTTTCCAGCTTCCCCGTCACCCACCCCACACTCGCAGGTTCCTCTGAGGACTGTCCCCACCGAGATTCCTGCTGACTCTGCTGCAAGGTCCCATTGCTGTGGCTTTAAGAGCAGGGCCTTCTTCAGCCTGGCTTCCCTCCCAGCACTGCCAGGGAATCCCCCACAAGCAGGCCTGGCCTCTCCCTCCCCCCCCCCCCCCAGCACAGCTCTGATGGCTGAGTTGTTCTGGGCCACCTGCCAGATCCCCCAGCACCTCCCCCCCCAGTGTCTGCACAGCAAAATCCCCACTCGTGGGCAGAGGCCCTTCCCTGCAGAGCTGGCCCAGGTCAGTTTGCTCTGGTCAGCAGACCACGGTTAGATGACAGGCAAGCCGGGCCCTGGGAAATGCGGGCGGCTGCTGGGGCTGCCCCAGCTCCACCGCGGCCCTGGGCTCTGGGTCAGACTTGTCTGCAGCACAGCAAACCCCTGCTGGAATCGCTGGGACTTGTCTGCCGGGAACACCGGAGCAGAGGACGGAGTCCTGGTGATGTGCTCTCAAAGTGTGCGGAGTTCCGAGTGGAGCCGTCTGAATGCTTCGGAGACTAAACAGGTATTTGGAAATGTTGATGCCTCTGCCTGCTCCAGGGAATCAGAGCATCTGGGGCTGTCCCTGGGGTCTGGGTCATTACCAGCTCATCCTGCGAAGGAGCTGTCTTCACGCCACTGCCTCTCAAGCACACAGGGCTGGGCGGGAGTCAGGGGGTGGTGGCCATGACACTCTTCCTGGGACAGTGAGCAAGAGCAGGTGCAGGGTGTGCCTGCGATGCCATGAGACAGGCACGTGGGGTCACGCCACGGCCAACCAGGGACATACTCCCTGATGCTCTTGGGCGCAGCGACCTTGTCTTAGCAGGAAGTTGGTGGACTTTACTACAGGGCTCAAGACAAACGCAATTTCCCAGCTCCCCCCACCCCGGGCCTAGAGAACCAGTAGCTGGGTGGGCGGGGGGAGGGCTCTGCATTTGTAGCAAGTGTCAGGTGGTTCGGCAGGAGGAAGAAGCCAGGCTCCGGAGTTAGGCCACAGGGGTCCAGACCCCGATTCCAGCAGGATTCAGTACCCATGCAATGCTGGTGCTTTGGTCTCCTCCTCTTCATTGCACACGATCACAGCTCCAACCTCTGCAATTATGCGAGGATTCAATCATCACCAGGAGTAAAATATCTCAGGCACGGCAGTGAGTGCTCAGCCCGTGGCAGCCCCCCCCCCCCCGCCGATGAGGGCAGCGGGTGAGCTGCAGGAAGCTGTGGGCCCCTGCACAGTCAGATCTCCATGCAGGTTTGCTGAATGGAGGACAAGGGGGCACCACATTCAGCCACGCCGCAGGTACAACCACGCCAGGAACATTCCCGTTCCCAGCTGGGCCTGGCCTCACTCTGGGTGTCGGGTTACTCCAAGAGGCATGAGTGAGGCCTCTGCCTTTGAGATGCTCACAGGTGTGGATATGGGTGATGAAGGAGCAATGTGGTAGGTGCTCTGTGAGAGGCAGGCTCTGAACACATCAGCCTCGGAGAGGCAGGGCAGGCTTCCTGGAGGAGGTGTCGTCAAAGGGTGATCAGAAGGATGAGGAAGGCTATCCCCCAAAAGGGGGTTGAGTGCCAGACGTAGGGGAACCCTGAGGCATTAGCACGCATGCTGGGCCCTGAAGTGGTCCGGAGAGGGTGAGGTGCACGGTGTAGGAGACAGGAGGGTAGGGTTTGAGACTGAAGAGTGAGCGGCACCTCCTGGTTGTCTTGAACTGGGCTGGGATGAACTGAGCCTGTGCCTTGAGCTCCGGCCGGCTCCTCTCGCCTGCCACACGTTCTACAAGGCCACCGTCCACGTTGCTGCATGACACTCCTCCCTGCACCTGTCAGGAACACACAGATGTGCAGTCACAGAGGCCCAGATCCCCGCCAGAGGAAACAGGACCACTCTGAACTGGAGGACCGGGACCTGACTTGGGGAAAACTTCCTGGAGGAGATGGTATGGGTAAGTCTTGAAAGAGGAGCAGTTGGGAGAGGAGGGAAGAGGAGGAAGAGCGTGGCGTGGAAGGGCAGCGCATGCCAGCATCAGGAAGCCTCAGGCTGCGTCCAGCGCGTTCTCATGCAGGCTCATGGTGGGGGCAGTGGAGGTGCTGGGGGCTGAGGCAGGAGAGGGGGGCGAAGCCCAGCTAAGGAGGCGGAGTTCCATCCTGGATGCAGGAGGAGCAGAGGTGATCGGTGGGCGCACCGGGGGCTGCTGGCTGCCAGTACTGGAGTGCGGGGCTCAGGTGGCGTGTGTGGTGAGGTGCTGCTCACTTCTCTTTAGAAGGTGATTCTGGGATTGGTGCAGCAACGTGGCACCGTCCACAAGAACTAAGGCTCCCGCACCAGTCTCGGCACCTCCGTGGTGTCATTCCTCATGACAGCAAGGTGGTTGCTGTGGCTCCAGGCTCTGCGGCTATGTTACAGCATCCACAGCAGGAAACGCAAGGAGACATTTGGTTACCATGACTGTGAGCCACCAACATCCAGTGGGTAGAGGTCAGAGAGGCTGCTGCAGGGAGCAAGTCCTTACAAAGGAGCATTCCCGAAACGTCAACAGCCCCGAGGAGAGAAGCCCTGGTCTCAGCTGACTGGGTGCCCTCAGCCCCATCTGGAGCTTGGGCACCAAGGATCCAGTCTCACGGTTCAGCTGCCGTGGAAGCCCAGACACGCCAGGATCCCGGAGGCGCTGCAAAGCCACAACCACGTGATGTTCCAGGGAAGTTCGAATGTGAAAAATGCAGCGTGGAGGCCATCAGAGGTCTCGGATGGGCGGGGGAAGACTTTCCACACAGCCGTGTGCTCCTGTTCGTCTGCGAGCACAGACGCGAGCCAGGTCTGCGGTTCCCAGCACACCCCCTCCGGGAAGCACAGGCTGCCTCGTGCCGACCAGATGCCGGGGGTCTTTGCAGGACGTGGCTTCCGGTCTTTCTCCTGCTGCCTCTGCAGATTTCCGTTGCACTGCTGTAGTCATGTAGGCTCTTGTCTATTTCTTCCTGTGAGTTTTTCAAGGCATCGCTAGTTTGCGGGTCTTGTTAAGAGGGGGCGTGCTGGTGGGAAGTGGGCAGGAAGCTGAGAAGCCAGCACTGCCAATTTACCGTAAATGCAGCTTGAATACAACCACACCGGACCTTGGAACCTGGTCTCTGGCACTTCCGCCGGGGGTTTCTGGTTTGGCCTCGTTCTCTGAGACACGAAGTTGGCCCTCATCATTTTCTCGCCCCAGACAGCTTCCTTTTCCTGTTTCTGGTTTACCTGGTATCAACCCTGAGCCTTATTGTCTAGAAATGTGAGTTTGAGCTCTGCTGGGTGGGTGTGGGTACAAGCACACCAACGGTGTGTGAGCTCACGCGTGTGGGCATGGATGGTGTCATCTGTCTATTCTGTTCACCCAGGTTGGCAGGGCACGTTCTGGGCCCTTTAGTAGTGAGGACGTGGTTCTCCTTCCAGCACACTCACACTGGGAAACCAACAGCTGACAAGGAGAAGAAGTTCTGCTCCAAGGGAAAACAACAGACTTTAAGTGATCCAAGGGTCAACAGTATCTAAAGGGGGAAAAAATAAACTGGAGTGAAAATGCAAACACAACACAGCAGACTTTGTTACCATAGTGCTACAGGGAAATGCATGGCAGTGTGTGCCCACGTTAGGAAAGACCAACTGTTCACATGATTTATGTCTTCTTCTAAGAACCCAGAAAGAGTAAAATAAACCCCAAGAAAGTAGAAGAAAGGAAAAAATTAAAAGGGTAGAATTAAAAAAAAATTGAAAACGGGGTGGGGGGGGCGACGCTATGGCATAGTGGGTTAAAGATCCAGCCTGCAGTGCCAGCTACCCATATAGGCATCAGTTCAAGTCCTGGCTGCTCCACTTCCCATCCAGCACTCTGCTATGGCCTGGGAAAGCAGCAGAGGGTGGCCCAGGTCCTTGGGCCCCTGCACCTGCATAGGAGACCTGGAAGAAGCTCCTGGCTCCTGGCTTCAGATTGGCTCAGTTCTGGTCATTGTAGCTATTTGGGGAGTGAACCAGCAGATGGAAGACCTCTCTCTTTCTCTCTCTCTACCTATCTCTGTAACTCTTCCAAATAAATAAAAATACATCTTAAAGTAATAAAACATAAAAACAATGGAGAAATGAAACATTTATGAAATCCATGCACACTAGGCATCTTCAAAAAGTTCTTGGAAAATGTGTATTATGGAAGAACTATGCGTGGATTCCAAAACATTTTTGCACCCACCAAAATAAGCTTACCTTTTAACTCTATTTTCCATGAACTTTTTGAAGTATCCCTGTATTACACTGAAACTAAAACTAGAGATAACAGAAAAAGTAAATAACTGCAGAGTAATATGAATGTAGTTGAAAAATTCTTAACAAAATATTAAATGTGGGGCTTATTCCAGAGACGCAAGCCTGGTTCAACCCTTAAGGCGAGCCAAGGTGATCAGCTGTACGGAAAGGCTAAAGAAGAAAACCGTCTGATATTATTCACTGGCACAGAGAAGGCATTTGAAAAAACACCCATTATAAACATTTCAGAAAAACTAGAGGTAGGGAGACTTTACCAAAACCCCACAGCCTATCACCCACACCGTGAAAGCCTGTTTCTGCCCAGGAATGGGAACAAGGACAAGCCGGCTGCTCTCCCCACTGACTCCATAAGCACCGGAAGGCCTCGCCAGAACAGCAGGGCAAGAAAGGAAATCAAGGGTGTACGGATCAGAGAGGAAGGAATAACTTGGTTGCCATGTGCTGATGCCATGACGGTTTATATGGAAAATGCTCACGAAGCTCCAAAGACAAAGGGAAGCAACACCACTACCAACTCCTCGCATAGCAGCTGAGTTCAGCCAAGTCGCCAGATCTAAGAAGACAACTGTATTTCTTTCTTTCTTTTTTTTTTTTTTTTTTGACAGGCAGAGTGGACAGTGAGAGAGAGAGACAGAGAGAAAGGTCTTCCTTTGCCGCTGGTTCACCCTCCAATGGCCGCCGCGGCCGGCGCGCTGCAGCTGGCGCACCGCGCTGATCTGATGGCAGGAGCCAGGAGCCAGGTGCTTTTCCTGGTCTCCCATGGGGTGCAGGGCCCAAGCACCTGGGCCATCCTCCACTGCACTCCCTGGCCACAGCAGAGAGCTGGCCTGGAAGAGGGGTAACCGGGACAGAATCCGGCGCCCTGACCGGGACTAGAACCCAGTGTGCTGGCGCTGCAAGGCGGAGGATTAGCCTAGTGAGCCACGGCGCCGGCGACAACTGTATTTCTATAGATTATCAACAAACACAGCAAGTCCAAGTTAAGGTACCGTATCACTTACAATCTCTCTTGAAAAGAGATTATGAATGAATCAAAAGGACATGTACAAAACATATATACTGAAAACCATAAAAAGTTGCTGAAATAAATCGAAGAAGATATACAGAAGTAAGTGGATCTACATAGGGTGTTCCTCTGTTGTAAGACTCATCATAGAAAAAAGGTCACCTTTTCCCCAAATAACATATACAAATCATGCAATTCCTATCAAAATCTTCCACTATTTTTCATAGTTAAAGATGAGCTTATCTGAAAGTTTACATGGGCAGGCAAGGGAACCTGAGCAGCCGAAACACTTTGAAGAAGGAGAACGCGTCTCTCTGGTTCAGTCCGAATCCGGAGGCTCCAGAGTCAGGAAAAAAGAAGAATGTAACTCAGGCTGAGGCTGAAGGCTGGAGAAGCTGAACTTGTGATGGCCAAGAGCAGGAGAAGATGGTGTTCCAGCTCCAAGAGACGGAGAGGAAGGTGGGGAGGGGGAGGGGGAGGGGGAGGGGAGGGTATTCACCTTCCCTCTGTCCTCCTGTCCTGTCTGGCCCCTCAGCCATGTGGACTCTGCCCAGCCACATCAGGGCGAGGGCACACCTTCCTTTCTTAGTCCTTAGGGCCAAAGGCTGATGTCTTCCGGGAACACCCTCGCAGCTATTCTCAGAAATGATGCTCTCCCGGGGTCTGGGCACCCCCTAATCCCCACCACACCTCACGCCACGGCAATCGCACTCTTGGGTGTTCACCCAGGGAAATGAAAGCTCAGGGTCACACACAAACTTCCACATGAATGTTTACAGCAGGTTTATCCTTAAAGCCCCCGACAAGCAGAACGTCCCCCGTAGGCCAGTGACCAATGGGACACTGCCCAGCAGTAAGACTGAGGGAGCTTTGGGTATATGCAACAATTTGGATGGATCTCAAGGGTTTCATGATGAGCAAAAAAATTCTACCTCGAAAGGTCACATATGGTGTCATTTCGTTTACATGGTATTCTCCAAATGACAAAAATTGCAGAGATGGCAAACAGATCAGTGTGTGTTGGGGTTAGGGATGGTGGGGGCAGAATGGCTACGAAGGAGGCACTGGAAGGAATGGGTCTTTATCTTGATTGTGGCGGTGGTTGTGGGTGGAAGAATGACATCACACCGCATGCGCACACTGCGATCATGTTACATTCCTGGTGGGCCTATTGTACTTGTTATGGAAAATGCAACCAGTGGAGGAAGCTGGGGGTTTATAGTTGCTATGCTATCTTTGCATAGCTTCCTGTGACTCTACAATGATTTCAAAGTTCAACAAAGAGACCAGGGTCCTGCTACTGTTCCCCTCAAAAGCTGCAACAATTCTCCCTTGCCCAGAGTGGAGGCACGCCCCTGCACCCCTGCACCCCTGCACCTCATTATCGTGGGTGTTCTATTAAACAGGCGGACACAGGACCCTGCTCCCGAGCTTCAGCTGCAGGAGTACGGAGCGGGCAGGTCTGTGTGGGGCAGAAGCTTAGCAGGCGATTAGGCAGCAGCAGAGGTCTTCAGACTGGGAGAAACAGCCTGGAGCTCTGCTCTGCAGCTCCACTGGCACAGGGACGAGGACCAGGCCCACTAGGACTCGAGGGCCTGACACGTAAGGAGGCGCGTGGTCTCTGGTTCATCTAAGTCAGAGCTCAAGAGGGAGTGCTTTCTTACACTGCACACCTTAGCTGCCTTGCTGGCCCTCCCTCCACTCCCCCCCCACCCCCACAGATTTGTACACAAAGATTCAGAGCGGCCTCGTTCATGACACCCCAAGACTGGAAACAACTAAACGTCCATCCCTAAAGAATGGAGCTGTAGCTGCAGTATGGTCCTAAAACAGAATGAACAGGAACAAACCACCAATACAACCAACAGAGCAATCTCGTGGACATGCTGAACCACACGAAAGGTGCATGCTCTGAACTGCGGAAAATCTGGAGAAGACACGCCTGCTTCGACAGGAAGCAGATCAGTAACTGCCTCGGGCGGGTGACCATCAGAGGATATGGGTGACAAGGGACCGGTTGTGTCTGGATGGTGGTGGTAGAGGGTTAAATTATTCTAGACTCACAGAGAAGCCTGTTTAAAACTGAAAAACCTTAAAAATCAAACCAAGATGGAGTGACTTAAGCTAACACTATTAAAAACAAGAAGTCACCTTTGCCCCAAATAAAATTAAAGTTTAAAAATTATAGCCCTAAACTTTTTCCCCCAGAGCTAAAATTAGGTGCAGCTATAAAAATAAGGGACCCTGTGCTTAGCTAGCTGCGACACTTGTGCCTGGCTGTGCTAAGACCTAACCCAGTTTGTATGCCTCCTAATACTCAGATAATGGTGTGGGAAGCGGGACGCTGCTCTCCCTCCAGGGGAACGAGGGGAGCGAGACGCCGTCCCCCTCAGGGTGAACAAGATGGTGCTGACAGGGGAAGGAACTGCTGAAGAAGTAAACAACAAAATGGCGATGAGGTGCATGCCTCCCATGTGACCCCGTAGCTGATTGGATAGAGGACGCATGCCTTTCACATGATCAGCTCACGGATTGGACTGCTGTGTGCATGGACACTATAGTGCTTTTGATTGGTCGCTGTGGGTATATAAACCGTGTGGCTTTGTGCTGGGGGCGCTCTCTGGACTCGGGAGTTCAGGAGGCCCGTCTGCGCAGACGCTGAATAAATCCTCTTGCTTTTGCATCAGCTGGTCTGGACTCTGAGTCTTTGGGGTGTGCTTCTCGACGTGTTAGCATCCTCACTCAGAGGGTCTAACAAAAACGGGTGCATTTTATCTCGCGGGGATATCTCAGTGAAGCTGATTCAAGAAACAAAAACAGAAACAAACCCCACAGCTCTCCCACAAATATCCAAACCCCGTGATTTGGGGTAAGACCGTCTCTTTTTGCAGGGCTCAGACACAACATAATTGAGCAGGAGGGCCATGATGAGGGCCGGGACCCCGGGATTCTCATGCTGGTTCTTGCCCTAAGAACAGGCGGGATGAGCCCAGGGTCAGCCCCTGCACCTGCTGACTCCCAGATTCCTCCTCTGCCATGAGTGTTTCACAGGGCTTTGGACAACGGCGGATAACCCAGGTACCAGAAAGCACCTGGGGAAGAGCTGCACACCTGTCAACAATTATGACAGGGGCGCAACCATTTGAACTCAAGTCTGCCGTGGTTCTAGGAATCTGAGGAGGGTGCACTAGCAGTCAGGTACAGGCAAACACAAGCATCCTGACACCAGTGTGCCCGTGTATTTGGCAACATTCTGAAAGTCAGATAAAGTCAACTGGCTGAGGACGGGGAAAGCGAGGCCCCTGAAGGCAACGCTGGTGCGAGTGCATGCTGGAGTCTCAGCTGGAGGACAAGCTGAGGTTGAGGTCACAAATCCTCCTCAGCCCAGCAGTTCCACTCCTGGGCTCCTCACCCAGAGCACAGGCCACATGGAGACAGGTGAGACACACGCACAGCAGGCCTGCTGGATAGCAAAGATGGGGACAGTCTAGGTGTCTGTCACCAGGGAAATGACCGTCCTAACGGACAAGAGAACCCAGCACCGTGGGGGTGGCTGGAGGTCACGGTAACACATCCCGCATTGTCTAAGCAGCTGGAAGAGAGCAGCTGGTAGGCTCCCAACATAAAGACAAGGAAGTTGCTTTGATCAGGTTACCCCTCGCCCATGTGTTTGCCATGGTGCAAATGTACAAGTGTCACAGCCAATCAGCAATTAGAAAGAAAAAACACTTAGTACATGCACACAAGATGTGACAGAACAGCGGTCAGAGACACATTCACTGGGGCTGGCGCTGTGGCGTGGCGGATTAAGCTGCTGCCTGCGGTGCCGCATACCATACGAGCACCGGTTCAAGTCCTGCCTGCTCCACTTCCAATCCAGCTCCCTGCTAATGCACCTGGAAAAAGCGGCACAAGATGGCCCAAGTGCTTAGGTCCCAGCACTCACCTGGGAGACCTGGATGAAGCTCCTGGATCCTGGCTTCGGCCTGGCTCAGCTCTGGTTGTGCCTGGTCATTGCGGCCATTTTGGGGAGTGAATCAGCAGATGAAGATCTTTCTCTCTAACTCTGCCTTTCAAATAATAAATAAATCTTTAAAAAAGATACAGATACATGGCTACAGCTCAAAAACAAAAAATAATCACACTGAATAAAGTACTCAGCATGGTATTTCCAGCACAGTGCCTTGTATGTAAACTGAACACACATGTGTGCTGGATTCTTCCACACACATGTAACTAAGTATAAACACAAGCTCCACACAAACATATAAGGGGTGAAAGTGAGTTCAATCCCTTGGAGGAGGTGGTGTGCTCAAGGGAACAGAGGGGAACAGTGATGAGGGAAGAGAGTAACGGATTTAAAGATGGAGATGGAAGGGTCTGGCGGGGACTGGTGATCTCAGCCTGCCATGATCGGAATCCTCACTTCAACTCTGTGCACCGGAGTGGCTGGCAGGAGCGTCGCAGGAGTGATGCTAATGACTCACACTGGCAGAATCGCCGGTCCATCAGGCTCACGCATGGAATCGCCCGTGTATCTTGCAGCCAGAGATTTAGCTTTACTTGGTTTGGGGTGCTGGCCTGGACCACCAGGATTTTAAAAAAGTAACCCCACCAAGCAATTCCATTACAGCCAAGATTGAGAACTACTGCCCAGGGGCTCGGATTCTGAATAGAGAGTAAGTGCTCCGGGTGATTCCATAATTTGGGCCAATTTGGAAGATCCTGGAGCCTCCGCTTTCTCAGCTGTAAAGCGTTAAGACATTCATCTTGCCAGATCGAATGGAGCAGAGTGGCATATGAAAACATTCAGGTGGCGCAGGCCAGCTCGTCAAGCCAGTTCAATCAAAATCCCTCGCTACAATACCCAGACAGGGCTCCCAGGTGGTGAGAGGCTGCGGCTTTGGAGCAGGCTGCTTAGCTCAGTGTGGTGGAATGAGAAGGCCATGCCAAGATGGCCACTGGCAAGCGAGCATCAGTTACTCAGGAATGGCTTTGAAACTCACCTGACAACGGAGCCTGCCTGGCAACAGGCTGTGATTGGATGGCTTTGGATACTGCCTGGCAACAGGCTGTGATTGGTTAGGGCATAAACCGCCCCTTGACTGGATTAGCTGCCTCAGCTATATAAGCTGCTGTACCAACTGAAATAAACAAGTCTGTGGGCTGCTCGCCTCTGGCCCACTTTCACCCAACTCCTGGGGTCTGTGTGGTGACTCCGTGCCTCTTGCCCCTACCGCATTCCTCCTCTCAGAATGAATCCACAGCAACAGCTCAGCACTGGAGCCATCAGGTAAGAGACCCACATTGCACATCACAGCACCTGGATTCAAGTCCTGGCTCTGCTCCCAGCTCCAGCATCCTGCGAACGCTCACCCTGGGAGGCAGCAGGTGATGCTTCAAGGGCTTGGGAGCACCAGGCTTCAAGAGCATCATGTGGAGGTCCAGGTGGAGTTCCTGGCTGCTGGCTTTGGCCTGGCTG